TAGAGATGAGATATGCTAACTTGTACAAGTAACAATTGAAAGTCTTTGTTTGAGACTATTAAAAGCATCACTTGTATCTGAAATTTCAACTGCTCTAGGAAATGGCAGCTGTGGCTGACAGTCTCTTTCAGAGCTGGCCAATTGCTTCTAATAGCAGGGGGGGGGTTTCATAGTTTTCCTCCTTAAACATTACTGCTGTTAAAAAAAAAAAAAAAAAGTGCATCCTAAACTCAACAGAGCTGCCAAGTCTGAGGTGGACCGCCTGAAGCAGGTATCAAGCAGGAATCCTGCTACATGTATGTCACAGCAAGACGGCAAAATTGTCTGCCTCTGACAGTGCTGTAAGAAACCCTGCTGGGACAGCAGTGTCATGGGGGACCGGCTGTGAAGCTCTCCTATTTTTAAAAGCAAAGATAAGTTTTGGTGTCGAACCTGTTGCTGCTGATTCAAGGATGCCTGACGTGCGTGGGTCATCTGTTTGTGATAAAAAGTACTCTGTCTTCTCTCTTGACGTACGGGAAGTGCGCGCTGCCCTCCCCATTTACTGTCCTTCCCGAGTACTCCGGAGAGGAGGGCATCGCACTGGTCACAAGGGGGCGTTTGGACCGTGCACATGCAATGAAAGAGCCGCTCTACAACCACACCAACTTTCGAAGTGAGCACACTGAAAATACTCCTCACCTGTCATCCTGGCTTGATTTTAAGCCTAGTGAGCACTCCCGTGTGAAACAGGCTGTAATTTTTGAGTCTCGGTGTATTTGTTCCCGAACGTCCACAGCTGGGGAGAGATGTGGGTGGCTCCATGCATTGGGAAGACCCTGCCCAAAATCAGGGCAGATTTAGTAAAGGAAAGTCCAGGACCTGGCTAGTGGGTGACAGACACACTGTCTGTCTTGCATGTGGCAGCCGGTGATAGAAGTTATGTCCCCTGCCGTGTTTTGTATGAGGCTTACTCAGGAGGTGCAGTCTGAAGACACCTCTGGAATTAGCCCTGAAGATGAGAGATACAGGGACATGTCTCATCTCAAAAGCACTGGGAGGGCCTGAAAATTAAAATCCAGATCACTTGCTGTACTTCCACCAATGGAAAATCTGGATGCAGATTTTCTGGGTAAGGTCAGATGCAATGACTAAATGTGCAAATTTGGATTTGTATTTTAAAAAGTTTACTTCTGCTTCAAATGCAAAATCAAGTCTTTACATATAGTTTGGACTATAATCAAGCTGTATATGGGTAAAAACTTGGAATTTCTCCGTTTGTATCACTTGTTGATTTTTTTGCACCTGCTTTTCTGCAAATAGCCCTATTTTTGTGCTATGCAGCTGACTGAGAGTCTGACTTTCTGTCTTTCCCCAGACTTCAGGTGGACTTGAACACCCCTGGTTCACCAGGTCCCAGACCCTGGGTCAGGTCCACCTGAATAAATCAGCTGCATAGCATGAAAGTGACCCCAAGTCAGGCCCAGATATTAGAGACTGTATCCTCTGGGTCCCTAACTGTGAGTACAGTGATCCATCTTACCACAATTATATCAAATTATATCTAGCTAGATCTAGTCACTGCATTTTTTCAATTAAGAGGGTTATAGAGTATTGGAAAGGATTTATTTGAATCCACAGGGCTGTAGGTTTAGATGAACAAGGGTCTTTAGGAATAAAAATTTTTATGTAAGGGCTTAGTATGTGTTGGTCTAACTTTACATTGGCTGTGAATTCTATGTGTTAGTGTTAACAGGATGGTCTTTCATAGCTGCTGATTGCACAGACTAAATTATAGCAATTGGATTATCCCATTTAACCTTTCTCTGTGCCATCTCTTTAGTGAATTACATGTAGCAATGTAAGCTTTTAAGAGAGTAGAAAAATATTTCAATATACTCCAGCTGTTACTAAAGCAATCTCATTTTTCCTTCAGCTGTCAGAGAACTAATATATCATGAATAGAAAAATGTGTGTTGAAGATGCATACTTCTTTCCATTACAGCATAGTGAAATGCCAGTCTGTTCTTCTGAGGATTCAAAGTTAGAGTTCGATTTTACTCTTCTCTGACTTCTGTTTGCAGAATATTAGGTCAATGAAAACTCTAGGAGCTTAGTTATTAGCAAATTAGATCACAATGTCTCATTATTCTATGTTTTCAACATAGAGCTTTAGTCCAGATGCATTTCTGCAGACTGTTTAGCAGCAGTGCTTTTAGTGAGGCAGGAACTGAGGGGATGGAAGAGGAGATGAATACTGATGTAACTGCATTTAAGAAGAGCTCTGTGTGTTGCAGGGTTAGTGCTGTAAACACGTCATTGACATGGGTTTTCTCTGTGGTTGTCTGTGTCATGTCCTTTGAGGTGAAAAGTGTACAGCTGCAATTCAGACTGCATCAGCGATGTTACTGTATTTTTGCATTTCATGACTAGAACATGACTTGAAGGATTACTGAAATCTAGCTGCAGAGTAGCCTCAGTGAATGTGTGCGATGGAGACCACACAGTTCTTCAAACCATTGTCATAACAGAAACTTGTAATTCTGGCACTGTTGAAACTTCATACTCAAGTGATTTGTGATGGTCCTCGAGCTTCACACTGAGCAAGTGCGACTTATCACAGGTTTCCCCAGACCTATTTGGTTTTGGGGGGTAGATCCACCAAACATTTTAAATGTAGGAATACGTGGCTTTTGATCCCTCTGTGGACTTGGCCCAAGTTAAGTTCCCAGAGTGCAAAGGTGGTGGAGACTTAGGGACCTAGGAGCAATATTCATGGAACTCAGCACATCCAGTGTGCAGTCACTAAAACTGCATATTCTGTAAAGGAAAAAATCCACCCCTCAAACAACTCTCCCACTCCCTGCTCTTCCACTGACTCCCCAGATCCCGTACATAAGGCTAAAAGCAGGCACATAGTTCTTGTTGGAGTCCTCAACTGTGAGCTTCTTCTGTGTCTCTGAGCAAGATTAATATCTCTCCCTCATTTAACCAAAGAAATATTTCTGTCAAACTTCAAAGAAGGTTTTGTACCTGAGTATCAAAACATCTTTGCATACACAGTATTTGGATCTAAAAGGCAGGGAGGCATGTCTGCCACTTGCAGAGAAAAAGAACATGTAAACATTAGGTGATTAAAAAACATTGGTTGGATGCAAGCCCTGCTATTCAGCATCAACACTTCTGAGCCCAAGTGTCTTCTGTGTGGAGTTTTGCCAGTCGTACTGTACTTGCATAGTTAGGGTTTACAAGTCAGCTAGGCAGGAAAAGTCTGAAGTAGAAAACTTGAACTGAAAGATGAAATGAGGTGTTATGGTCATGCTGGAATTGAGGTGTGTGTTCTGCATGGGACCAATCTTGCTGCTGCAGATTGTAAGGGGGAAGATATGCCTGCATGGTTAAGTCGGGCATCTGAAAACTATGGAAATACTGTGATCTGCCATTTAAAGTGGTCCTTAGGTGCCTAATGTCCTTTGGGATCTTCTGAGAGGCCTTATCAAGTTAATCTTTTAAACTTCAAGACCTCTAGATCTACTTCTAAACTGTAAAAAATGTGGGACTGTGCAAAGGCCCTGATCACCTTGAAGGTTCTTTAGCCTCATTCCTAATGAACTGCCGTGACACTTCAGATGAGGAAATTTGATGACCCTCTGCTGCTCAGTGATTGGCAGTAGCATGCTTTCAAACAACATATTTTAATTATTTGGAGGCCAGGCATCACTGAGCAGAACAGATTTAGTTGTAGTTATCTTTTCTAAAAATTATCCTTCTAATATATTATTTTCTCAGCAGAACTGTACCAGAACTATGTGCAATCCCATGCTGTGTTGTCTACTGTTTCAATACACTGGTGAATTCAGGGAAAAAGCTTTGGACTTTACATCTCTCCCATTCATGATTACTGGGATACTGTAGGGAAAAGTATCAGAGTTTGTAAGAGGGAACAATAGAAAAACCACAACCCAAAACATGGATACTTCAGTCTCACTTACAAACCAGTGCTATATACTTGCTGTTTTGCTAACTCCTTCAGTCAGGCACCAAGTCTTGCAAATTGTAGTGCTGTGTCAGCACAGTGTGCTTAGTAACACTATGGAAGGGTGCAGGTACACAAAAATTGTCTTTCTACAGATTGTTGGTTGTTCAAAAAAAGTGCATCTGCAGGGAGCACACGGCAGTGGAAAAAGTTATTTCAGTGGGATATTCACACTTTACATTAGCCATGAAATCTCAAAAGATTAGTTTAAATTTTTTTAAGGCACCATAATTCTGATTTTTCACCACAGTCATAATTTTGTATCACAGTCTTTATATTAAGAAAGGATTATGGAAATCAAAGAAATTGCATCAAAGTGTGGTGAAAATGGCAATTATTATGGAGATTGGTTTCTTTCAAAGTACAGCATAAAGTAGCTTTAAACAATCTGGTTTATAATGCAACTTGCATTTAGAATGTTGTTTGTTTTGTTTGGGATTTTTTAATCAAAAGGGAACAGAGCACTGATCATGTAAAAGAAACAGTATAAAGCTTGGATGTGCCTTTATATTGCTCCCTTGCTCTTAACTGGAAACACTGTAGATTTTGCTTTGCTGTTGGAGTACTTTTCAGTGTCTAGCTTCATAACACAATTGTGGCTTGAAGCGAAACACGTGGTGTAACATCCTCAAATTGGCAGAGCTCCAGCCGTGAATTTCTCAGCCTGTTTCAACATGTCATTTCCCTTCTGCCCACTAAGTTACTCCTTCTTTTAATACCTTCTGATATACAAAATATAAAAGCCAAACTGTGAGTGAGGATCACACAGACATTAACTCCAGAAATTGGAAAAAAACCCCAACCAAACAATCCTGATAAAATTGATTTTTTCCTTTGTGAAATATTTTGGATTGTAGCTATTCCCAAGAGCAGTGCTACTAGATTTGATCTTTCACTTGATTACAGAAACAAGTGAATAAATACAACCTGTAAATACTAAATAAAACCAGACAGCTTGATAGAAATATTTTACATTTATTGGAAGAGTACAGTAAAAAGGGGACTGAAGACTCACAAGTGGTAACTGGTCCACAAGAAAAGACAAAGGACTATTCAGAAAAGGTCTGCAGTTTACAAGAATACTGCAATTCTGTTTTGTAACAGCCTAAGAAAATAAAGTTAGCTTAAGTTCAAAAGTGTAAAGTATATAAAAAATTGGCAAATAAATAATATTAAAATGCAGAACTATTTAAAATTATAAAGGAAAGACAACTCGCAACCGTATTACATAGTTGTAATTTTCAGACTTGCTCAAAAGCCAGATAAACTCACAAATGTTGGTTCCTTTTTTTTACATGTGTACTTTTTGGAAAAAGCACCCATTTCCAGTGTTAAGTATTATTGATCTGTTTCACAGATATATTATTTTTAAACAACAAAGAGTATAAAAGGTGCTTTACCTGATATTAATCTTGCTGGTGCATACTTTGGCACAAAATTGAGTAGAAATCTGGACACATCAGCAAATGGTATCTCTGCCCCACTCAAGGTTACTGGTGTCAAAAGTCCTGCCTATGCGACCAGGTCACTGAAACAACCTCTCTTCCCTAACATCCCTCCTCTGTCTCCAGATGCCTACAATTACACAAAGGAAAAGTAACACATGCAACTGAAAGAACAGCAGTCCTGCCAATCTTAGTCCAAGTTTCATCTCTGGAAGTCATTTGAACATTCATATAACTATGCACTCCTTTAATAGAAGGGACAAGAGAGGTGTTTATTGTTGAATTTCAGTCCTCAAAATTTCTTTGTAGGAGTCTGCTTGTCTTTTGTGTCCTCTGTGATGAGCCTGCATCATCAGTTTTTCCTATTACGTTTTTAGCATTTTAGTGAAAATTAGGTGGAAAAAAAAAAAAAAAAAAAAAAGGTTAAATTGTCAGTTGCAGGTAATTATACAATTAACAGCAGAAACACATATGGTTTTCTAGTTGCTCCATCTACTGAAGACTTTGAATCTGTGACGTGACCAAGCAGGTGGAAGTAAAAAAGTGCAGAGACTGCCCACTGTATATTGCATTTCTGCATTTTGTGAGAAAGCAAAAAATGTCACTGTTTCTCCTTAAGCATCACAACTTCAGGTGTTTTACAGAATTAGCCACACTCTAAGATATAGGAAACTTCCAGACTCCAGTGGATTTATTAGTTACTTGCAGTTATCAAAAGGGGCCATGCAGACTGCAAGATCTTCTCTATGGCATCCTGGCTGCATCCACACTATGTATCAGAATCACTGACAGCACGTGAATTGGCTGCTTGAACCTATCAGTTCCCTTCCCTGATAAACTAGAGAGGAAGGAAGGTACAGTTCTACCTTCCTGTTGAGTTGAAGACAAATACAAGTATTACTATTGCAGAGATATCTTTAGCAAGGAATACTGCTGTTCAAACTGTGTAACAGTTTTTAATTGAAATGATTACTTTAGTGGTATTTAAAATGCATTAAGCTGTACCACCTCAGAGACCTAGTGAAAGACCAGTTCCCTGTAGACTTCTAGTGACCTAGCAATGCTTATCTTCTGAAGTTGAAAGTCTCAGCACTACATGCTGGTGGTGGGGCTATAATTATCAGTATAAGTAAATGTTATATGATATACAGAAGTCAAATTTCTAACAGCAAAATGGATGACAATAATGAAAGTTAACAGTATTTGGACAGGTCTGTTAAGAAGAAGGAAGGTTACAACATGGCTTGGTTGGAATTAAGTCACTGCTGTTAATTTTAAAGATACTGTTTGGATTTGGTCTGACAGCAAAATAATTTCTTTTTGAATGAACATATTTAGCTTTATATTGTTCCCTAGTAGGGGCAGGATACAATAGCACCTATTGTAAATTAGGCAGTCAGGAATGTTGTTTTTCTGATGTCTTTTACAACATGGACAATTCATGATATATTTCAGGGTTTGTAACTTCATCAAAAACATGGTTAGAACAACGTGCTTCACACTGATTCACCATTACTTCAAATTTCATACAAACACGTTGCCACAAGGTATAACCACTACAGTATTTTTGAATCACACAAAAGCAGGGAAAAATTTGGACTTTTCTGTCACAAGAGTAACTTTTTTGAAGTAAGCAATGAGGCACCATCTGTGGTACACGGAGCCATCAGAATCAGAAAATGTTTGGGAGATGCAAAAAGGTCAGATCATTACAGCAGAGCTCATCTATAACTGTAAGCTTACTGCAGCCCTTTTTTAAAGAGCAGAAAGATTTTCTAAGAATTGAAGCAAAAGATCAGAGCAAAGTAGTTTACATATCAGTAATCCAAGGATTTCGTATTACTACTGCATTTAACAATGATGGAACTTACATGTTGAGAAAAAAGTTGACTGTATCTTTTTTTAGCGGTGGAAACTTCTGGCTCATACTTTCAATATGTGTAATCTACAAGGAATTGCTGATCAATCTGATTTTCCTTTTAAAAAGCATAACTGCCTTAAACTGATGAAAAGTTTCAATTCAATGGAGAAGCACATGCTGTCTCTCTTGCCATACTCACAAAACCTAAGTTATGTACTTAAATTATAAACACTTGTAGTTTTAAAACTAGATGATAGTTCCAAATAGTAACACTTTTTTCAAGCCTTCTTTTCTAGTGGCAATGTGAGTCCTAAGTACAGGTTCACAGGTCAGATTAATCTATAAACACAAAATCAGTTATTGCAGGTTTTATTTGCAAAGCATTCAATTCTGGGAGGATAGAGGAAGAAAGAATGTAGTTCATCTCTTTTATGTTTTCACTTTATGACCTCAACTATATTTGAAGGCTTTATTTATCAATTTTTTTAGTAAGTATGGCTAACAGTTTTTGATTTAGAGAAGGCATACATAATCTGAGATCTATAAATGAACTACTCTTTCATAGGTATAATCTGAAACAGCTGCAAAATAGCAATGCACCTAGCAAGCAATCTAATTAGTCCTTTATCTCACAAAAATAACCCCAAAACATCTGAAAATTCTAATTTAAGTCCTGTCTATATGATATCCGATAAAATGGTGTTTGAAAACAGCAAATAATATACAACTTCCTGAAAATGAAACAACTCAGAGTTAACATCTAAATTCTATACTCGGAGATACATTTCAGTCAGAATTTTATGTCAAAGAGACAGAGGGACATAACAAGGACATAAGGATAACTTACGGTTATTGGTGAAGGTAGTATTCCCTTGGAGAGAACAGTAAACGTATCTCTGAACCTTCCTGTTTTATAGATCAGTAGTAAGGCTGAAATACAGAAACTGCTTTTGCTTATTTGACAGAGAACCAAAACCAAGTGGGCTTCTAGAGTCAAAGCTGTGAAATTTAGGGGGATTAGCTGCTTATTTAAAGACAATTTCTAGCTTCCAGCTCCTGTTCTATGTGGTGCTTATTGTAATGAATAGAATGATAACTGAATGTGAAAGTTAAGGAAAATGTTGGAGATACCAGGCAGAACTTGCTGTACTTTTAAATGACAGAGTCATCCATTCCTTGGTCTGAAAGTAAAGTTGGGTGTTAACAATGCACTAATATGCAAGCCTGAAAAGTATGTAAGAGCTGGAAATCACAGGTGTATTATCAGTTTCACGAAAGAAATTGTGGCAATACTTGAACGATTGTTCAAAATGTGACCAGTGAAAGGATTCTTCTGTTTCAACTTAAGAGTTTTCAGGTTTTTAAGCTTTTTTTTTTTTTTTAACTATTATTTTTAAATTATAGTTTTTTAAAAAGGAAAGCTATCCTAGGGGAATTCTAGTAAAAGATTGCAAAGAATATTCTTTACTCGGATTACTCTTAAAGAACCTTGATAGGTTTCTGATGTTGATGCATTTTTCTTGTAAGTTGTTAGTGATAATTGTTTAAGGACTGCTTTTTTTAATATTAAATCTGTGGAACGAAGTTAGAAGACAAGATTTTTAAGAGCTGATGTTCCAAATTTACCAGATCACTCTTATAAAACCCATGGTTGTTTGGAACTTCAGGAATACTGGGCTTGCCCTGTACTTTTTAATTACTAATTCAAGTCCTGTATTCCTGAAACTGAAGGACTGCATGGATATGATTCTGAGAATATACCTCAGTTGGTAGTAGCTGTATTTTTCCCTCCGCATATCCTGATTTGCCTAGCAAGAATGCTTTCAACAGTATCACAGGTCCTTTCGTGCTTTAGCAAAAAAAAAAAAAAAAAAAAAAAAAAAAAAAATTGGTGAACTCTCTTTTAACAGCAAACTATTTTATGCTCTGTCATAAAAACGTTACAAATCCAAGCCATTTTCAGAACTACTGCTCTTGAATATAATGTTTGATGACACTATTTATACACTAACTCAGGTCTTCAAATATTGCACTGTTTCAAGCACGTCAGTGGCACTGCCATTTAGAGGATATGACAGCAAGGATAATGGAAACAGGGCTAGTAGTTAATTACTATTGTTAATATCTGTGCAGCAGCAGATCTGTGAACATTTGGGGAGGAGGGAGACATTTTCAAATGCTTCCAAGAGTTGGTTACTCTACAACCTCAGGAAAGTGTTTTTTTCTTTAGTATCTTTACAATGGGTGCAAAAGGGATTAACAATATTTATAAGAGATAAAAAATTGATAACTTCACAGTCAGTTTTAATGATGTGCAGTAAGTTTTAATGTTGTGCTTGTACGATTTGAGTAAGCATGACAGGTGCTCAAAGACATGGATAAAAAATACTTTAAGTATGAATAACCTAATATTTCCTTTACCAGTTTTCTGTTTCTCATCAATAAGATCAGGCTTACTTCACAAACTGCAGTTCTTACTGATAGCCTTCTGGTGCTGCATGTTCCAGTAGCAACTTCCAATAAAAGTATTAGGCAACTCTGCAAAAGGCAGATTTTTGCTAAGAGACACAATGTAACTGTATTTGCTAAATAAAAAACTAGTTCATTGTGTTCATTAGAAACTAATGAAAATTTACATGTCGAAGAGAATGTCATGGTGGGATGCTGACTCCACAAGATCACACTTTGCTGAAGCAAGGTTTGTTTTCAGACAAGATACTTTCACTACCCTACTTGCCATAGAATTGAAATGCTTAGTAATCCTCATGATTTCACTGATGACTGAACTCTGAAGCTAACATGTGCTTAATTTCTACTGAAAACAAATGTAAGATGCATTTTTTTCCCTCAAAACAATCTCTCTTAAAATGATGAATGTAGTTCCTTGAAAAAAGATGAAAATAACAGATAACCTGTTAAATTCCATCACGTAACAGGCTGAGGTACTTCTACCCGACCCTTAACAGTACTCGGAGTTTCTATCATTTAACAGTGTAAAAAATTCAGGTTTCCCTCAGGGAGTCCCTGGTTGGGACAGTGCTGGTGTAAGAACCTATTTGAAACACTAAGCTTGCAAAACTGAGTCTTAACTTTTTTCTAAGTTCTCTGGGATAGACACAGTATCTGGCTGACCGATGAATAATGCAAGACCAAGTCATCTAAAGTCCACAGAAAGCAATAAAGCAGCTTTGGTTCTTGAAAACCCTATCTTTCTTTTAAATGTCATTGTATGGCAGGTTTGTTTGTGAACTCCCTTGTGACATGTTTACAAAAACTTTAAAAAAGTATCTACAGGTAAGGATTGCACTTCCTAAATTATATAATTGCAATAATTACAAGTGAGACATGATAAACAAGTTCTGCCACAAACTGCCAAATTAATGATAAGAAAATAGTTTAAATAATTGAAGAGACATGTACCTGTGTTTAAATTTATTCTACACCTATAAACTCATTCTGGTATTCTCCTAAAGAGTTACTATTTTTGAACTGAACTGATGCCTACTTCAGCAATAATTTTTCTGGTTGCTGTAGAAATCCCACATTTTTAGAAAGTATTTGAATAGAAGTGTGATATGAATTACAAATGTTAACTATTTCAGAATAAAATATGAATGCAATTTTTATCTTTAAGTGAGAGTCAGGATGGTGATGGGTTCATTTAAGACAAATAAAACAGTATTTTATTTTATAAAAATAAAACAGTATTTCTTTGCTGTCAAGAGGGTATATAGCAAAGATACAGTTCGTCTCTTTCATAGAAGAAGAATATTAACTCTTCAGAGAAACTATGGATGCTGACAGAGGAGACACTGTTATCCTTACTTGCAGACTTCAGTGAGGCATACACAAGGATCTGCAGTTGGATGAACCTTGGATTTTTCCAAATTATTGTGGAACATTTCTTGGATCTTAGTACACTTGCATTTGCATTAGCCTACCAGCAAATTAAAGCACAAACTTTGTGTACTTCTTAAAAGCATACAATCTAATAAGAATGCTTCCCACTGGTCTTGAAAAATATCTTTAGGCTACTTGGAAGTACAGAACTAAGTCAATATATCCAGTATGCTGCCAAGTTTTCCAAGCACTATGCCTTTATGGGTATGTATATGCTTCCTTAGCTCCATGAAAAAAATCACTTAAGAAATGCAAGAAGCACTCACCATTCCTTATATTTGGATGCTGACAGTTCCACCTCAGATGCAGGTGATGTGCTCCAACACGATCATTCACTGTTTTATTTGGACAATAACTCCAATGTAAGAGACAGACTCTAGACAACACACATTTTGGTCACACAATAGCCCTTAAACATTACCACCAGTAATAGTATAAATACACTTCCGAGAGCAAAAATGTTGTGAATAATAGAAAAGTCACCTTAATAGAAAGAAAAATGTAATGTAGTCACCAACTTCATCTCAATCCCACTCTAACAGTAAAATATAGGGTTAATTAACATTCCAGATGGCTGTGCTGCTTACAGTCCCTATTTCTTACTTGCTTTAGTAGCAACTGGTATCCCCTTGATCCAAAAAAAAATAAGTTAATTCTTAGAAAAATTTTAAGCACCTTAACTCTGGAACTTAGACCAGGATACTGTAGCTTGTTTCTGTTTCTATGTAGGGCCCTAGAAAATAATTACAGCTACAAAGAGGACCCAGAGACAGAGTAATAAACTCTGCCTTTCCTTCCTCCCCTATCTAATAAGTTGTGTTTTTTTTCTGGCTGAATTTTTTTAATATAAACAAGTTTTTTATTCTTGGTGACATTTAAAACTTGCCTGTCCCCAGTGTTTTGAAATCTGATCGCAACTATTTAAAAATTTAGAAGATTAGTATTTCTACTCTGCCATGCTCCACCTGTCAGAGGCTTTAAACTTAGTTCTTTAGTTCCATTTCTTGAACAATTTCCTTATGCCATACAGAAGTAGTATTTTCCTTTGGACACTATGGATGGAATGTACTTTTGCTTAGTATAAACTTCTGTAGGCTCCAGCTGCATTCTAAGAATTATTATCAATTTAAGGAAAAAAATCAGGATCAAAAGCAAATCTAGCAATTCACATTCTTTAACTCCTCTAAGATCATCTGCTGCTATCATTAGTAAACCTCTTTCTGTTGGCCTAATGCTTTTATATATTTGGAAGGCAGATGATTTGCAGCATTTCCTAGCATGTGCAGTCAAGACTTGATACTGGATTTTTTTATTTCTTAAATAAACATAGGTCATTGTAAAGGAGACACATTACTGAATTCTGATGGCTTTGTAGGAAGAAAAGGCATGGCTTAAGTAAATCACATCGAAAGTCAGAAGTATTTACTATAGTGTGGTAAGAAATGCGTAATTAACTTTATTTTCCACAAAAGAAAATTCTGGATTTCACTGTTCAGTAAGCACATTTGCATCCAGAATCTAACTGACCTTCATTATTAAAGTATTAGAAAGAATTTAAAAAATATAAAAGTTTCAAGTTGAAATACTTGTCAAAACTGTCTTCAGTCTTACGGCCAACATGTATGACAGTCACCACGCTAGAGTGCTGCTGGTCTTGACATACAGGACAGGGATAGCAGAGTGAGAACACAGCTTAAAGCAGAAAACCTCTGAAAAATGTCACTAGCAGTTACTTGTAAAACAGATAGAAGCCACAGTCCCTTAAATCTATATAGTATGTGCTTTTCTATTTACATGTAACCTAAATAACAGTATTACTGTGTCTGGATATATAGCATTTTGCAGTGTGTATCGTTAATGCAGATGCAGACATCATTCGAGATGGTACACATGTATATAAAAAAACAGATAATTTCAAAGTAATCGTAAAAGAATATTGCAAATAAAGTAAAAATGCATAGTGTTTGAGGGAAAAAATATTTCACTGGAAAATAAAGTCATATACATTGAGTTTGGCACTTGTTTATCACTATGTCACTTTCTTTTTGATTGAAGACAGGTCTTTCTGAATCTCACTGAATTTTGGACGGTTTTCTGGTTTGTAGTCCCAGCACCTCTGCATTATTTTATATATTTCTTCTGGACATTTTTGGGGTGCTGACATTCGGTAGCCTGGTACACAACAAAAGGGGAGAATGTTTAGCATCAAAAACTGATGCATACTGGCAAATCTAACAAGAAATGAGAGAAGTTTAAGATCGTTATATTAAAAAAGCTCTTTAAGTTAATATGAGGAAAATCTTCAATATATAACTCATACAAGATAAGATGATTATTACACATCATACTCAGGTACCAGTGACATATAAGTTGAGCATGGTAAATTGTCAGTATGCTTCTCATTCATAAGGGCAGCAACCTGCATACATTTGTTTGTATCTTAGGAAGTAGTTACCCTCTAGGTTTGAATTGTGTTCCCTTCTTTCCCCGCACTGAGGAAATTAATAATAAACATTACGATGGGAATTTCTTTGCTCTTTTTCAAACTGGATAAACATTTATTCTCACGTCTCTTCCCTTTTTTGTCTCCTTAAGAAGTTCCCTTCCCACTTGCACTTTATCTATTTATTTTTCCTCCTTCCTATTTTCTTAACTTTTATATTTTCCCATCATCTTAACTCTTGCTCTTCTGGTTTGTTTAGATAGGCTGTGGTCTTCCACACCTCTCTGCTGCCATCAGTGGTCTCTGACTTGGTGATGAACAGGAGAAGCAGTAAATACCTTAGTGGCTAATCATTCAGAAGCCACAGATAAGTGGCCATATCATCCATAACTTCGACCAAAGAGATGTACTCACAGCAATGAAGGCAATTTCCCAGTGAGGAGAAAGTTGAGCAAAAATGCCAGGAGGACTGCATGGATGAACAAGGAGCTCCTGGACAAATTTGAACACAAAACTGTGTAATGTGTAATGTGGGAGGAATACATAAACATTGCCTGAGTATCCAGGGATGAAGTTAAGAAAGCTAAAGCCCATTGGACTGAATCTGGTCAGGGATGTTGAAGACAACAAGAAGGGCTTCTTTAAGTAGGTGATGAAAGGAAGGCTAGGGAAATCGTGGGCCCACCGCTGAATGACGTAGAGCACTTTTTAACATAGGACATGGAAAAGGCTGAGGTACTGACTACTGTCTTCAACTCAGTCTTCACTAACAAGACTGGACTTTGGGAATCCCACGCCTCAGAGACCAGGGAGAAAGTCTGGAGCAAGGAAGACATACGTGTGGTGGAAGAGGATCTGATCACGGTATACTTAAGCAAACTGGACTTGCATAAATCCATAGGGCCTGATGGGATGCACCCATGAGCACTGAGGGAGTTGGCTGATGTCACTGCAAGTCCACTCTCAATAACCTGTCTTCCATCACGGTGACTGTGAGAGTACATGAAGACTGGAGTAAAGCAAATGTCACACCTGTCTTCAAGGAGGACCCAGCGAACTGTAGGCTGGTCAGCCTCACCTTCATCTCTGTGAAGATGATGGAGCAGCTAATGCTAGGAACAATTTCCAGGCACATGAAGGACAGGAAAGTCATCATGAGTAGTCAGTATGGATTCACTAAGGGCAAGTCACGCTTGGCCAACCTGATCACCTCCTATGATGAAATTAGTGGCTTGGTAGATCAGGGGACTTAAGGCTTTCAACACTGTCTTCCATAAAATCCTTACGAAGACACTGTTGAATTATGGGCTGGATGCATAGACAGTGAGGTGGATTAAAAACTGGCTGAATGGCAAATCCTAGATGCAGATGATCAGTAGCACAAAGTCTAGTTGGAGGCCAGTGACTACCAGTGTACCCCAGGGGTCAGTACTGGGATCAGTCCTGTTGAACATCTTCATTAATAATCTGGATGATGGGGTAGAGTGTACCCTCAGCAAGTTTGCAGACGACAACAAACTGGAATGAAGGAACAACACATGAGACTGTCATGCTGACATCCAAGAGAGACCTGGACAGGCTGGAGAAATGGGCTGACAGGAACCTTATGCAGTTTAACAAGGAGGAGTGCAAAGTTCTGCACCTGGGAAGGAACAACCCCAGGCACCAGTACACAATGGGGGCTACACAGCTGGAAAGCTGCTTGGCAGAAAGGGACCCAGGGATCCTGGTGGACACTAAGTGTTGAACATGTAGCAGCAATGTGTCCTTGTGGCAAAGAAGGCTAATTGCATCCTGGGCTTCATTAAACAAAGTACTTCCAGCAAGTTGAGGGAGGTAATCCTTCCCCTCTGCTCAGCACTGGTGGGAGCATACTTGGAGGATTGTGTCCAGTGCTGCGCTCCCCAGTACAAAAGAGACTAGGACACATTGGAGAGAATCCCATAAGGGCCACCAAGATGATGAAGGGACTGGAGCAGCTCTTACTTGAGGACAGGCTGAGATAGCTGGGACTGTTCAACCTGGAGAGAGAAGGCTCAGGGAGATCTCATCAATGTATTAAACATCTGAAGGGACAGTGCAAAGAGGGCAGAGCCAGGCTCTTTTCAGCGGTGCCCAGTGTCAGGACCAGAGGCAATGGGCACACCACTGAAACGCAGGTGGTTCCCTCTGAACATCAGGAAATACTTTTTCCCTGTGAGGGTGACAGAGCACTGGCACAGGTTGCCCAGGGAGAGTGGAATCTCAGTCTTTGGAGATATGCAAAACCCATTAGAACACAGTCTTCAGCATCCAGCACTAGATGGCCCTGCCTGAGCAGCGGGGTTGGACCAGATGACATCCACAGGTCCTGCAGACCTCAGCCATTCTGTGACTCTATGATTCTATGAACTCTTTACCACATGTAGCTCTCTGACCAAATGACAGACAGTGCACAGTAGAGTGAGTTGGCACATAGGACTCTAAAACTAAATGCAGCTCTGTGACTTCAGATGAACAGCACAGATCTCTGCATCTCTTTTTCTAAAGCAGAATATAAATCATACATGTTCTCATACAACTGGTACATCTGAGGAACATTCTTCATTACATTGCATGCATCTGCCCTAGGTGCTGGATTAATGCATGCAACTTCAAAGGATAAAAGCTGGGCTCTAGGGTACTTACAGTCAAGGTAATATGAAACTAACAATCCTTTCCTTCACAAAGTTTCCCATAGAAACTACATTCATCAAAACAGTGACAGAAGCAAGTGCTTTTTATCCTTAAAGTGAAGTGATTCTATTAAGTTATTTAGAATTGAAATTATTGTGGTTTAAAGCAAGCATTCAAATAACTAAATTCACTGATGGCTCTTAATAACTGAGTAAGTGAGATAGATAAGATGAGGAAGAGAATGTGAGTGTCTCAGCTGACTATCCTAACAGAATAGCTGTTATATACTGAAAACCAAGAAAACAGGCTGATAAAGGACATGAAAATTCCATTAAAAACAAAATGAAGAAGAATTGCTAACAGGCCAACGAGATTATTTTCCCCACAGTATAAATAGCTGAAAAAGCATAAATGTACTTCTAAATACTTGGATTTTATAAATTTCAAGAAATTATTCTCAGTGGATTAAAACAGAATCTCAGTATTTAGGTAGTAAGGCTTGTTTTTACAAACACTCCTCTGCTCTGGAGAACACTGGACTTTTTGATTTGGCCTTTTAGGGAGCAACTTTGAGGGTCATCTGCAGTGCTTATAAAAAAACCTGGCAATATCTATAAATTAGTAAACTAGTTGGAAGATTTTTTTAATCATTCAGCAAGTTTTACTAGCTTAGAACCTGTTTATGATTTACACAGTAGTACTATGTAGAGGACGAACAGTTCTGAAACATCAGTGAAGATGAAAGTAAATCAAACTGCTGAAATCCTGCTCACAGTTATTTGCTACTTTAAATAAAAGCATTTTGATTAATTTGTAAAAGAGAAAAATGGCTTTCAACACTCCACTAGCTTACAATTCCCCACCATAATTGCTAATTTTTTGTATGAAATGCTTTAATAAAGAAGATGAAATGATACAGATTTTTTCTTCTGGCAGTTTAGAATATTTATACTTGTATTAGCATAATCTTAAATAATTTGTTCTGGTCAAGCTTCTGCTACGCACAGCAGTAAATCCCCCCACTTCATCTCACCTCTTAGTTCTGCAACAATGAAAGTCAGTATGCTGTAAGACTTACATCCTTCAAGTCACTGGTCAGAATATTCCTTTTTCAAGAAGCCTATGTCACACTACTCTCAGAAAGACAGATTCAGCAATTAAAAAAAATCTCATAATATTTTTCCTAAAGTTTCTGGATAGCTTGTATGTTATTTCTTTGCTATTTTATACTGTATGTACTACATACTTATGGTTCTATACAGCATTTCTTTCACTCCCTACAAATAACTACCTTTCTCGACTTGTTCTCGTGCTTGTTGATTGGTCATTCCAGGGTATGGACATACTCCTAAACTGAAGGTCTCCCACAAAAGAATTCCAAAGCTCCATACATCACTCTCAGATGTGTATCTCCCTAAGAAAAGGAGAGAAAACTCTCAGTTTAACATACAGATAAATTGTTTCAGGTAATTATGACATCACATTTTCTCTAACGTGTTATACTGGCAAGCTTTAAGCAGAACGAAGCTGTAGCCACTAATAATACATTCTGCAGATATCCTAGTCTTCTGTACTTCAAATTATAAACAAATTACCTTAAGGTCAATACCTAGGTATAACATAAGCTAACAAAGTTCTACATTGGTCAGACATTACCATGTCAGTTACTTTTCATGGAAGTTAAGAATTTTATTCCTACTTAATGTACAAAATTATTTTTTTCCTTTTAATGTAAAAGGATAGAAAAATGTCTAGAAAAAAGGAAAATACATGTAAATTATAGTGACAGTTGGTGATATTACAACTGTTCTGATGTCAGAAAGTTCAGTTTACTCTTAAACTAAGTATCACTTCCAGCTGTGCTACATTAGCTTGTGTGCCTCCTAGACAGCAATTATGGGCATTCTGTATGCTCTTTGTAGTAAGATTAGTTTTCCTCTCTATGCATCAACTCCCTTCTGAGTGTGGCACCCAGTGATTTAACAATTTCCATTGAGATAATTCAGTAGATATAAGATAGTGATTAGATTTTTTTTAAAGAAAGCACAAGTTCTGCACAATTAATTATATTTTTTACTATGACATTATCTGGGAAAAAAAAAGGCCTGTTCATTCACAAAAAAAACACCTCCACAGTGATTTATTAACATGACACGTAATTCAAAATATTTTACAGGAAAACCATACATATTAACTGTGTATTTTAATTTTGAGAGAAGATGAAGCAAAAATACTCTACACTTGGCCTAAATAAGTAATTTTATTAGGAACTTTTCAAACATATTTTTCCACTTGCTCAAAGTGATGGAAATCTATAGCTCCAAGAAAAAATAACAGAACAGAATGGCACTGAACAGCACCCACTGAACCAAAGTTTCAATCTTCAACAAACTCCAGTAGCACCAGGATTGCAGTTATTACTTCAGATACAACTCTCTAACCACTCCATTTTCCCTAATTTGGTTTCTATACTTCACAACTGGTGGTTTTTTAATTTAAAATCTTTTTGTGACTGCTATTAATTTGTCATATACAGTGAATACAGAAGTGACTAAAAAATGACCTTTTACACAGTTTTTTAAGCACTGTATCATACATGTAATGGCCAAATGAACCCATCTTTCATTTTCTTCCAAACTTTAAAGCTTGACATTAAGAACCAACATGGACAGTGGTTGCCAACTAGTTTTGAAATATTGCAGATTTAGTTCTATTTCATTCTGATATCCTTAAATATCTTCAGCCTTACCTACACAAATTAATTCAATACTTATGACCATACTATCAGGATGGTAAATGGTAAAACATAAACCAGTTATTTTTACCCACAGGTTTCAATGGAGTGGAAAAAATGCTCCTTCAAAAAACCACAGAAACCTTCTACAGCATTTTGAAAGTTGTATATTAGACTGATGAACACATTAACAAATGTTTGAGCAAGCTTATTTTCCAACTACCAAAAATCACTTAAAACTGCGTTAAGTATGTATGCATTTTAGGAAACACAAAATAAGTAGATGTTAATTAACTATCATCTCCTCTCTTGGACTATGCAGAAATAAAAGACTCAAAAGTAGAAATTGAAGGTGTTGCCACAAAAGCCCACTTCCTGCTTAATGTAGTCCACTGGACTGTATACAGCTATGATGGATAGGTTTTCATTATGTATCAAATAAACTGTGCACATTTCTGAAATAACAAAAATGAAAATTCAAAACACCTTTTAACACCCGAATTAGAAAAGTGTGTTCCCCAGCAACACTAACATCTCTTAGAATAATTGATAATACAGGATCAACTACTGTAACTAAACTTGTTATTATCCTTTCAATAGGAAGATCTGCTATATTGTGTTATGGCATTAACTCCTACAAAAGTGTTAGAGGAAGCATCTTGCTATCAATCGTAAGTCACAAACTTATGATTTCCAATGCATGATTTTTAAAAAAAGCTCTAAGAGATGGCAGAAATATTTATAGATACTTCAAATGAAAAATTTAATAAATTTTTTCCCCAAGTACTCAACTAAAGAACTGGTTGAAAGAACCACATCCAAAATATGGCATCATTCATTTAATATGCTGCTTGTTCACAGTCCACTTTACTTAGAAGAACTTATTTTTCTAGTTTCATATAAGCTAAAAAGTTAAACAGCTTCTGTTTCTGTTCTGGAACTATTACCCACATATTATGGATCACTTCCCTCAGACAGAAATAATGGATTTTTTTCCCCAAGATAACAGCCTAGCAATATATAAAAATGCAGGTAAAGCAAAGATGCAGTTAAAAAAAAATATAAATTAGTGACTGTACTTTTCTCCAATGCAAAGATTTATCTAACAGAGTGTTCTAGTATGTTAAAGCTTTCTAACATTTCCAAAGAGGAACCAGAACAATCACTGCCATAAATATGCAAACTTTTCTTTTTCATTTTGTTAACAATTATGACTTAGATGACTGATTAGGTAGTCTACCAGAATGAGTCAGCAACATAACCAAAAAATAATTTTGTTGCTGCATAATAGCAATTTTGATGTTGCTAGCTTATTCTTTTTGAAGGCAAAATAGACTTTTTTACATAACTTAAGACTGAAATACTATTTTAAACATTATGGATTTGAACTGGGCACTAGGAGTAAGTATATATACTGAAATATTGCCTATGGTGTACTCCTGGTGCTCCTTATGCTAATTTTTTTTTTTTTTTTTTTCCCTCAAGGAGATACATATATGTCCTTACCATAATTGAGAGCTTCTGGAGCAGTCCACTTGATAGGAATCTGCTTTAGGCCTGATGATGAGTACACGCCATCATCTTCTTGCCGGGACATCCCAAAATCACTTATTTTCAAAATGTTGCTTTCTCCTACCAAGCAGTTCCTTGCAGCCAGGTCTCTAAGTTAGAACAAGAAAAAAAACCCTGTATTTTTACACATTTGAAAGTACTTGAAGCGATTTTTTAAAATGGCTGAGGCCCTTGGCCAAGAAGGTGGTGCCTCTTGGAAAACATATTTAAGAAAGGGTAAAAAATGCTGCATAGCAGTTTTGGAGAAGAGCAGTGAAAGAGGAAAAAAAAAGTCTGAGAAATAATCCTGTGAACACCAAGTTTGGTGAAGAAGTTGGGGGAAGAGTTGCTGGAGATGCTGGAGCTGTCCCAGGCACCAAAGCAGAGATTACTCTGAAGCTCTTGGAAGGACCCAAGATGGAGCAGTTCGATAAAGACTGTATCTCCTGTGAAGGACCCATGCTGGCACAAAGGAACAGTGTGAGGAGAAAGGAGCAGCAGAGAGGACCTGTTATGGACTGACCACAACCCCCATTCCCCATCCCCCTACACCTCTTCGAGGGAAGGAGGTGGAGGAGTCAGGAATGAAGGAGTTAAGGTGAGCCTTGAAAGAAAGGAGGGGTGGGAGAAAGGTATTTCAGTTTTTTGTCTTTATACCATCTAATTCTATTTTAATTGGCAATAAATTAAATTAATGTTCCCCAAGTTGAGTCGTTTTGATGAGGGATCACCCTGTCTATCTCGACCCATAATTTCTTCTCTCTAATTTTCTCACTTATCCTACTTGAAGAGAGAGAGTGAGAGAGTGGCTGGGTTGGCATCTGAAAGCCAGTCAAAATCAACAACCAAAAAATGACCTCTGAGGTTGCAAAAATAAATCTGCAGTTTAACAAAACAGAGCTTATGCAAAATGAGACAGAGTTTGAACAAGCACACTGAAACATATTCCCATAATTATGAAAGACAGTGAGAAACCAGAGAAGTGCCTCCATCTTCACTCTGCCTATTTTACCTTAGCATTAGGGTACCCATTAAAAAATACAAAGCTACTCAGGGAATTTTGGCTTAGTGGTGGGTGAGAAGCTCAAAAAATCACCAGCCTTCTTTTCTGTCCCTCCACCCGAATTGTTTTTTTAGATTAGGAGATAGGCTATAGTAATACCTGATAAAAGACCACTGTGGCTTCTCTACAGAATATATTTGGAATAAGATGACCTGCTAATAATATGTTATCAAAATATTATATATATTACATTTCTTGTTTCATAAGTTAAATTACTACATAATAAAACATCTATTATTCCCAACTTAGTGTAATAAAATACAGGAAATTTCTGAATGTTAAGCAACACAATTAAATCTATACTGTTACGAACATTATGGGCAAAGTACTTTTAAACTAAATTTACACTGCTTGTTTTCTGCTTAAATAGCATATATGCTCACAAATAGCTTGTCTTACATGAATATTCCAGAATAATTATATTAGCTTTAATATTTTGGATTGGAGCTGTAGCACAGTTTTGAAATTAATCCCCTCTGCACTTAATACACATTCATTGGTTTTGAAGAAGGAATTTGACACATGTGAACTATATTACTCTTGGAAGAAACTAACCTAGAACTCTGCCTAAAGGGTGTACCAGATTTGTTTCTACAGCTAACACAGAAAGAAAGGTCTCAACCAATGACAAACAGCTTCAAATGCTATGCGGGGGTGGGGGGGGGACGGACATTCACGACAAAGCACTGAACTACATTTTGTCTAAGTAAAAGTCTTGAACCATGTATAAGGTTGCTAAAGCTTGTATAGCTACAACTAGTTTGATCAGCTGGTCCATAGTGATAATCACAGAATCGTCTAGGTTGGAAAAGACCCTGAAGACCACCCAGTCCAACAACCTAACACTGACAGTTCCCAACTACACCATATCCCTCAGCACTATGTCAGCCCGACTCTTAAACACCTCCAGGGATGGGGACTCCACCACTCCCTGCGCAGCCCATTCCAACACCTAACAACCCCGTCTGGAAAGAAATGCTGCCTAATAGCTAGTCTAAACCTTCCCTGGCGAAACTTGAGGCCATTATCTCTTGGCCTATTGCTTGTTACTTGGTTCAAGAGACTCATCCCCAGCTCTCTGCACCCTCCTTTCAGGGAGCTGTAGAGGGCGATGAGGTCTCCCCTCAGCCTCCTCTTCTCCACACTAAACACCCCCAGTTCCCTCAGCTGCTCCCCGTACGACCTGTGCTCCAGACCCTGCACCAGCTTCGTTGCCCTTCTCTGGACACGCTCGAGTCATTCAATGTCCTTTTGTAGTGAGGGGCCCAAAACTGAACACAGGAATCGAGGTGCGGCCTCAGCAGTGCCGAGTACAGGGGTCAGATCCCTTCCCTGTCCCTGCTGGCCACGCTATTGCTTACACAAGCCAGGATGCCATTGGCCTTCTTGGCCACCTGGGCACACTGCTGGCTCCTGTTCAGCCGGCTGTCAATCAACACCCCCAGGTCCCTCTCTGACTGGCAGCTCTCCAGCCACTCCTCCCCAAGCCTGTAGCACTGCTGGGGGTTGTTGTGGCCCAAGGGCAGCCCCTGGCATTTGGCCTTATGGAAAGTCCTCCAGTTGGCCTCAGCCCATGGCTCCAGCCTGTCCAGGTCTCTCTGCAGAGCCTCCCTACCCTCGAGCAGATCAACACTCCCACCCAACTTGGGGTCATCTGCAAACTGACTGAGGGTGCACTCGATCCCCTCGTCTAGATCATCAGTAAAGATGTTAAACAGGAGTGGCCCCAAAACCGAGCCCTGGAGGACACCACTCGTGACCGGCCGCCAACTGGATTTAACTCCGTTCACCACAACTCTCTGGGCCCGGTCATTCAGACAGTTTTTTATCCAGCAAAGCGTGTGCCCATCCAATCCTCGAGCAGCCAGTTTTTCCAGGAGAATGTTGTGGGAAATGGTGTCAAAGGCCTTGCTACAACATCCACAGCCTTTCCCTCATCCAATAAGCAGGTCGCCCTGTCACAGAAGGCGATCAGGTTTGTCAAGCAGGACCTGCCTTTCATAAACCCATGCTGACTGGGCCTGAGCATCTGGTTGTCCAGCATGTGTTGTGTGATGGTACTCAGGATGAGCTGCTCCATCAGCTGCCCAGGCACCAAAGTCAAGCTGACAAGCCTGTAATTTCCCAGATCATCCTTCTGATCCTTCTTACAGATGGGCATTTCCAGTCTGTCAGAACCTCCCCAGTCAGCCAGGACTGCTGGTAAAGGATGGAAAGCGGATTGGCGAGCACCCCAGCCAGCTCCTTCAGCACCCTTGGGTGTATCCCATCCGGTCCCATAGACGTGTGTGTCTGTGTGATGCAGCAGGTCACTGACTGGATTGTGGGGGGTGCATTCTCCCAGTCTGTCTTCTGGCTAAGGAGGCTGGATTCCCTCAGTACAACAGGTCATGTTATTAAAGACTGAGGGAAAGAAGGCATTAAGCACCTCAGTGTTTTCCTCATCACTTGTTACCATGTTTCCTCCTGTGTCTAGCAGGGTATGGAAGCTCTCCATCGTCTTTCTTTTGCTGTTGACATACTTACAGGAACATTTCTTGTTGTCCGTGACTGCTGAAGCCAGATTAATTTCCATGTGGGCTTTAGCCCTCCTGATTTCTACCCTGCATAGCCTCACAGCATCTTTGTAATCATTGTAAGTCGCTAGCCTCTTCCTCCAAAGGTCATAAACTACTTTTCTCCCTGAGTTGCTGCCAAAGCTCCATGTTCAGCCAGGGTGGTCTTCTCTGTCACTGGCTTCTCTTACAGTACCTGGGGACAGCCTTCTCATCTGCTATTAACACTTCCTTCATAAAGAGTGTCCAGTCTTCCTGGAGCCCTATATGCTTCTGGACCATCTCCCAAGGGATGATGTCAAGCATTTGCCTAAACAAGTCAAAGTCAGTCCTTTGGAAGTCCAGGATGTCAGTTCTGCTTAGTCCTCTCCTGCACTGTCTAAGAATAGAGAACTCTATTATTTCATGATTGCTGTGCCCTAGTCAGCCTCCAATTACCACATCATCCACCAGTCCTTCTCTGTTCACAAAGAGATCGTCAGGGCACCTTCTCTGGTCGGTTTACTCACCAGCTGTGTCAGGAAGTTGTCTCCCACACATTCCAGTACTCTCTGGGACTGGTCCTGCTCTGCTGTGTTGTATTTGCTGCAGATGTCTGGGAAGTTAAAGTCTCCCACAAGAACAAGTGTAAGTGACTGTGAGATTTCTCCTAAGTGCCTATAGAATATTTCATCCACCTCTCTGTCCTGGGTGGGTGCCCTATACTAGACTCCCTCTATGACATCTGCCCTGTTGGCCTTCCCCCTGATTCTAACACAAAGACACTCCACCCTGTCTTCACTACACTTGTGCTCAAAGCAATCATAATAATCACTAACACACAGTGTCACCCCACCACATCTCCTTTCTTCTCTATCCCTCCTAAAGAGCTTGTAGCCATCAGTTGGTGCACTCCTTTCATGGCAGACATCCCACCATGTTTCTGTAATAGCCACGACATCATAATTTTCCTGTTTCTTCATGGCTTCAAGCTCCTCCTGTTTGTTACTCATGCTGTGTGCATTGGTACAGATGCACTTCACATGGGCAGATGTTTTGTCCCCTTCCCCCTTCAAATCTAGTTTAAAGCTCTCTCAATGAGCCCAGTTAACTCCTGCCCCAAGATCTTTTTCCCCTTATGGGACAGGTGTATCCCATCTGATGTCAAAACATCTGGTACTCTGTATATTAACCTGTGATTGAAAAATCCAGGTCCCTGACAGTAACACCAGTCTTGGAGCCACAAATTAATCTGTTGAGTTCTCCTGTAATCTCTTCATCCATCCCCACAACTGAAGGGATGGAGGGGAACACAACTTGTGCCCCCAACCCCTTAACCAGTTTCCCCAAGGACCTGAAATCTCTCTTCACTGATTTAGGACTTCTGGTAATATTGTTGCTACCTACCTGAAAAACCAAGAGAGGGTAGTAGTCCTTGGGTCTCACTAGAGTGGGGAGTTTTGCCGTGAGGTCCTTAACCTGGGCCCCAGGGAGGCAGCAGACTTCCCTATGA